AATAAGGTAAGCCGAAGTTCGTAAAAAACCATCAAAACATGTCATCACGTCTTCAACACTCACATTTAACTAATAGAGGGGCATTAAATCGCTTCGCAAGAGGGGTTTCCGAAGCCAATAATTCACCAAGCGCACATACCTGATATTGATTCGATCGGAATTGGCAGAACGTCAAAAAACATTTCTAGAAAATCCATTACACACAAATTTAATTCCTGCTAAAGTGAAAAGAGTTCTTTGGAACTTCGAAGTATGAGTACATTTAATGACTCATTAATGGCTACATTGCTCACAGATCAATACTTCTTGCGCTTCGTGGAGCTCTTTGCCTCGGTTTTTTCCGATTGTTGAAACGCTGACGCTGATCACAATTGGCACGAAGGAAAATACTTCTGCTTTTAGACGCCAAATAAACCAAATTGCAATTTTTGCACACAATATTGTTTGGAAAGCAACTAAATTTTACTCGATTTCTTTCATCAAAACATCAACGCTCGAACGAGTAATATCTAATTAAGATCTACAAATTTACAGGAATTTTCAACCTCACCAACTTGCCGCAACTTTTATTGGCCAATTGTCCCATTTTCCTGGAAGAACAATTTTCACGGGGAGACCTTATAAACTCTGGAAAAACCGTCTGTAACGTTTTTACAACGCGACATGTTGAGGATGCTAGACGATAAACGACCCTTAAGGTGTGCTTAAATTGTGTAAACTGCAAGAAGTTTGGTAAGTCAAATTTTCGATTACTGCTTGAAAAATAACAATTTGCAAATTGAGATCCTTCTTGCTTCAAACTCATCGTCATCTACACTATAAACAACAATTTAATTGTTTCTGGAATATATTTTTTAGGTTCTTCGGGCGTTTGTACAGTCCAACAAAGCTTGATGATAGGAAAAATATAGATATACATTTTTTTACAAAATCAAAATTACCTTTTAAGTCATGTAATTATCAGTAATCAGATTTTTCGAACAAGGTGATTGTAATACGTACAATAGGAATTTTTGTTCTGTTTTACAAACATTTCAGTTGAATAATAAATTACGATGTTATGTTACATTTCCATGTATTGTATTCTAAATGTACTAATAATTTATTTGTTATTGATCATGGAAAAATTTGCGTTCGTCAGTATTACTTAAGAGACATATAAAAAAAAATCGATAATGCATATCTATGAAGCAACTGCATGGTACTGAAAAATGCATCACATTGTCAGTGTTCTTCACACATGACCGACAATGCAACAAGAGAAGTTTATAATATTTGTACGTCACTCACGTAACGCATCATCAAGAAGAAGTACATACATGCACATTTAAGAACGGAAATAAATTTGATTTATGCCCCTAGTTTTCAGTAGTAGGTAAACAGCCACCCACACTTTTTTATCTTGTTACAGAGTTAGTTAGTTCGTAATATATTACGATATCATTGCCAGAATAATTGTACTAATTGTAACTTCACAGTGATGTAATATTTCACTCTTTTAATAAATGAAGTAACATCTGAAAACGTCGTTTTATTTTAGTTTCGTAAAACAAACAATTTACTGATGTTGGTGGTCCTGGAAAGGTGTACAACAAAATGTAACATAAACCCAAAAATAGTCAAGACATTCCGGCCATTTTCCAGCGTTGTTAATCATCTCCGACACCTTGTTGCCGAAGTGTAAAGAAACTGGTATCTGCCGTAAATAAATATAACCAGAGGCCGGAAGTACTCGGTGTTATTTATTCTACAAAGTTACCAACGCTTTCCAACAGCTTAACTTTATCCCCATGGGTTTCGTTTGGACGAGCGGCCATCCCCGTCCAGTTCTACTTTTCAATAATCCATCCACTTGTTTTACCATCTATCAAAAAAATTTAGCAGCAAATTTGCCTCGAATTTCCCTACGCTTCAAATCTCGTGGGTCCTCGGAAAATTCGACCGGGTAATTCCCGACGAAGGAAATGTCGAGGTATGGTACGTCAATGATTAATATTTTCATTGGCAACGATTTTTCTTTCTTTTCGGTGTTCCGAGTTTTATATAAAATGGAGCTAATTCCCCTCGGGGAGTATTAAGAGATTTATTACCGCTATCAATTAAATTTTAGTTCACTGCTTAAGCTGGGCGCCGAAAACGTGATATCAATGCGAAAGTAGTTACGGGAGACGTTAGTAATAACTAAAAATGTCTTTTCGAACAACTGTAGTTAAAATGTGATTAGTGAAGTTTCCAAGTTGTATATTATGAGGTGGGATTACTTATGAATAAATATTAAAAAAGCAGACGCCCACGTTTACTTCGCAGATAAGGTTTAATTCAATTAGCGCTTAATAGTAGGAATTACACGCTTTTTTGGACAATGAATATTTTATCAACAATTAGCACCAACCTTTCAACCGAGTAGTGAAATGCTCGCTAAAAATTTTACAACAGTCGCTCACATGCTTGACAACGATTTTCGCTCGGAAAAGACAGCAGGGTCAGGGTTTCCTTTAAAAATATAATATCGTCTGCTACGTCTTTAAAAGAACGATACTTTTACCATAATTAATTTACAACAACACTCCGATAGTGATGATAAAAGCTGTAACCCCATCTTGGATCTACTTATGATGCGAAAAATTTTACGTTTTTTTTTACGTCTAAACTGGATTTTAAATGTTACCTCATCACAGATCATAACCAACACAGTATTCTGTCGCAATAATTAACATAAGGAGGTGTGGGATTGTTAATTAACTAAACAAATATTCTACCGTGAGTGCAAAGGACACAGATTTGCATAATAACTGCACTGTTTTAACGTCCTAGTCTTATTCCAAGCGCAAAATTTACATATTTATGTGTGAAACTACCACTATTCAATTAATTTGTTCGTAAAAATTAAAAAATATTTTGATCAAATTTATGAGTTACATATACAGGTGTCCCAAATAAAACTCGCTACTTTTTAAATCGACTGTGGATAGAGATATTGAAATTCTGTACACGTCATTGGTTTTAGTTTGAAGGGGGAAGCTCAATTTAGTACACTGCAAATATGACGCATATATAGCATCAGCGCTGCGACGCCAACTCATCTCTTTTGAGTAACGCATATATTTTTAACCGATTTTGATAAATCATTAAATTACGATTACAAAGAAAAAATGAAAACTTTATTTAAATAAACAGTAAATGAATCATGTATTCATTAGCAACTAATATATAAACTGTTACGTACTTTTTCATTATTGAAAATTTGTGGTTGTTATCAGTTTTGCAACTTGTCATAAAAATCATCGCACTTTCGTAATTACGGCTGCAGACGTAGGCGTGTGATAAATGTCTTATTACAGTACCTATAATTTGGTGAAAGTGGTTTCAATTGTCCCAAAAGCAATTTTTAATACCAACATTTCAAGCAACAAATGTCGTCAAAACTTCCCTAAACTTTACTAACCCTGCGTAAATCCGGCTTTTCGAACCATAATTAGCCGCCAGCCTATATGTTAATGGTAAAATGGGCGGAGATAACGCAAAACTATCGTTGCCGTGATTACCATATCCCGCAAACAAGACGTAAAATTAAATTTCCATTTGTGCGAGAAAATGATTGTGTAATTTGAAATTTGATTTAATAGGAGTTCCTGACAATTCAATTGTCATTCAATTTGCGACCCGTTGTTATTACACTACACACAAAAATAATTATGGTTACCTTAAATTCAAAATCTTATTATGCAGGGTTTGCCAAGAGCCGCGAAATAATTTAAAACTGTTTAACATCTAAATTTATTTCTTATTAATTAATATAATTCCCTTGAGCTCTTTTTAACCCGGTCTTCGTGCGACTTGTTCCATAAAAAACAACATCCCTGCAAGCAAAATCAACAAATTACCCAAGCCGAACCAATAAATCTTCGAACCCCTCTTGTCCAAGACACTTGCTTAATTTTTTACACCAGGACAGGATTTCCAGATACCAATTTTTGCAGCCGTACGAATACACTAAAATTTAAAAAAGGACAGGGACATCGCCATTAAAAGACTTCATTGTCGTCGGTCGTAATGAAAACGTCAAAAAAGGCAGCCGCCGAAACAAAAAGTGTACATTTAAAGGCAGACCATCAGAACAATGAAGTGCATTGTATGACTAAATGCCGGAAACATGATGCAATTTATGGCGAGCGTTTAAATAAGCTAAAAAGCCGTTAATTCTGTCCATTTTGACAGCATTTTGCAAATCACCCGAGACCGTTTTACACGCAGAATTCGCTGATTACTCAATGCATATTTAAGTAGTCCGTTTTAATTAACAGTTTTAAACGGAAATAACGATTAACTTTTGATGCACGAACGAAAATTCGCAAAAATCTGGGACCGAACCCAACCAATCAGTGCTGTAGATAATGATAGCTTCGTCCAACTAAAATTAATCAATTTACGGTTACTACAAATTTAAAAGCACCAAAAAAATATTCATTACAGTGGAGATAAAATATAGTTTATAATTAAGTTATAAATAAAAGTAGACAGTTTATTCCCATTAAATTAACGCTAAATTTATTAATTTTCGCCCGCACGAACCCACCTTCAGTGACAATTATGTAAAAAATGCCGCATGCACGAAGACATGTGTTCAATTATTTGACACAATGGTAGAAGTCTCCGCAACAGCTGCTGTTTTTTTTTACAATGCTGTTGATATTAAGAGCAGCGCACCTGTTCTTGAGAAAAAATTAAGGGTTATAGTAACCCCGAAGATGTGACTGGAATATTCGATACGGTCAGCCGGCGTATTGAAATGACACGCAATATTCCATACGCAGCGCCAGCGGATTATACAATAACCAATGAAAATGAGTTAATTTTCGGCTTCAGGGTTATTTTCCTTCAGAATGTACACAAACAGCGGGAGAAACGAACTAAAAATCGATGTTACCTCATGCCGAGTATTTATGTGGTAAGAGCACGATAGCAATGGTCGTTTTTTAAAAAATGATTAAATGACTTACCGAAACGTCATTTAAAATTCCACTCGAAAGAAATAACACACATATAAAAGTCGCAAATGGCAACATTTTTGGTGGTTTTCTCACCGAAAGCACTGCACTAAAACGCGACTCTGCTCCCGTTGGGTGGATTCACGACTGACACCAGCTCCACCTACCAGGAAATGTATGCGCAAGTGCAGACTTAGTCATCAGTTGATCTGTTATCTCATCTGGAATACAGGTGCGAGGAAGAGATGGAGCGATGGGATGGAGAAACGGAGGAAGGTGAGCGTCTAGACTCTGGACAAGAGTCGAAGCACTTGGAATAGAAAACACTTGGAGACTAGGACACTAATGTCGCGACTGGGTAATGGCAATAATTATAATAATTATTTGGAATTATAGTGATTAGCAGATTGCTTGAAGCTGAGCTGGCTCTCGGTAAAGATTTGTGCAAAAGAAAAATTATGAAAAGTGAGAGGTCTTTGACATTTAACATTTGACTATTTTTTTTCTCTAGAACTAGTTCATGCACTTTTAACCATGTTATATAATTGAGATAAGGCAACAGAGTTCCGTTGATTTTTCCTGACAGAAAAAGAGAGATAGCAATGGGAGCGATAATCCGGTTCTATCTCAACTAGGAGTGGTAGGTGGGTGATAAGAGCTTAAAGCTCTTATCTAAACAGATAAAAAGTAGAAATAACAGTAAATAATATTGCTTTAGAAATAGTTTCAAAATTACCATGGGCCAATTAATCAAATATTCGTAGTTTCATGTCAAACTTTAAATTTTATTTAAAAAAAGTCTAAAAGAGAAAAGTATAAACATAACAACAAAAACTAAAAACGTATATGCGCATGTGCAAACCTAGTTAGTAGCTGATCGGTTATCTCATCTGGAATTCCACTCTGAACAAAAGATGATGGAATCGAGGCACAGAGAAAGTTAGGAAAATATAGATTCTGGACAAGAGGAAGCACTCGAAATGGAATTATTAACTGCAAATTTCCTGAGTCTAACGACTAAATAACCAAGAACTTTTGAAGTTGAACGCTGTTTATAGCTGTACCTCTCACTGGTGCATCTGTTTAATCTGAAAAATCTAATAAAATCACATAAATTACACACTTAATATCAATTTTGCTCACGAAATTTTGCAATTACCAATCACTGATGACTGCGAAAACGCAAACTAAACCGGTATGATTATAATAACAATTTGAAATTATTATAATTGGTTGGTTGTCTGACGTTGAGCTGACGCAAGGGGGTTTATGTTAACATTACGAAAAGTAACAGGTCTTTGACTTTTGGCCTTTTACAAGAATTTTATTTTATCAAGAACTAGTTTAAGCAATCCTGTCATTTTTTTAGATAAGTGCTGATAAGATAATAGATCTTGCTAACCCTTTTGAGTTTTTCCGGAAAAAGGAAGTGACAATGAGAGCGATAACCCACTTCAGTGTCGAAGAGGAGCAGAGTGGGTGATAAGCACTTAGAGCGTTATCTAAACAGATAAAAAAATAGAAATAATGGGTACTTAAAAGTAGTTTCGAAATATTTGTTAGATGCGATGTTAAAAGAACAAAATAAATAAAATTACCACCACAGTGGTAATATACTAAACAAAACACCCCCATATTTTGATTGTTTGTAATCAAAAGACAGACAGTTTTCAAGACAAATGCGTTTGTGTAATAGTTTGTTGGTTCAGGTTTCTTAATTTTACAGTTATCCTTCCTTAATATCCTATTTACACAAAGCGATTTAATTTTCAGAAAATGTGTCAAGTTTTCGTCTGTCTGCCTGTGTCTGTTGAATACATATAGAACGAATAGTCAATTGAAATTTAACCATAATTTATATTTAATAGTGTCAAAAAAAAGGATATCTCGATACTAAAACGGCAGAGAAATTTAAATGGTATAAGAAACAGAGAATTGTAGTAAAAGAAAACGTCTGAGAGGTAAAAAAGAGAAGCTTTAAAAAAATTTGGACAGATTTTAGAACAAAACACCAAAGAAAATAGGAAACGGCTCTTCAGAACACTTAAAGGAATAAGAAACAAGAAAAAACAACAATAAAAGGATTGAAAATAAAAATGGAGTTTTAATACCACTGTGTTATACAGGGTTTCTATAAATGATTATAGGGTGGAAGTTGGTCATGGAAGCTTGCCGCCTATCACTTTGTGTGCATCTGAAAAATTGGTTGCCTAAATGCTTCATATCTTATTAAAAAGTAAAACTAATTCATCGGAATAAAAAGGCACTTGGTCACTCTCTTTTTTCAAATTGAAACAGGAACATGACTGCTGAAAAAATCTTGTCAAAGATGTTTCGCGGATTCTGCTCGGGTCGTCTCAAATCATCAACAACTTTCTCAGATACTGAAGGTCTTTCAGGAGATTTTCTTTTGTTGACACTGTCAGTTCGAACAAATCTGTTGATTACATATCTAATATGTTTTGTTGTTTTGAGCTCGGATGACACATGACGTTAATGACAAATGAAAATTGTCATAATGAGGCATAATTTATAAAAATCCTATACATGATGTTTGATACTTTTCTTTAACCAAGTATCGATCATACGACTTCAAGTGTGCAAATATTGTGAATTTATATTGTATACCATGAGTTAAACAAAGTCGACCTAGTTCTGGAAAGTTTCTATGATTGTTTATACGAAATATTGTAATCGAATGTTCCCCTCGACAATCAAAATTTCTACCTTGGTTTTCAACAGAATTAAAGAGTTACTTACAACTAAAGTCTACAAAGACAACGAATATTAGTTTCTTAGTTGACTTAGATTAAAGGCTCTGACTAATTGTCATATATTTGCGGCTTATATTAAATATTTGGTGGATGTCTTCGCTAAAGTAATGGAACAAGTACCATAAAAATTTATTATTATATTCAGTCAAGCCCTATTTTTTTCCATTAGAATAGTTTCATCAAGGTTAGATGTGTCACAACCAACTTGTCGGTTATTACCAGAGTTAGGCACAGCGGAAATGATGGGGAATCAACCAGCAAACATTAAAAACGACGGCGCGACGTCAGGCGACAAATTTGACTGGCCGACTGTGCAGTCTCAACCACGTCTCAACCTCAGTGGCGTTTGATGCATATCGGGGTTTATCTAATCAAGATCATCACGAAAATTGTGATGTTGAACAGTCATTTTTAATTTTTAAAGCATTTTAACATCTAGGAGAACTATAACTGTAACTCAGGAAAACGAAGAAAAAGTAGTCATTGTTATTAAGAATTCCCGAAGTTGTAGACCACGACTGCAATAGCGCTGGCGATCGGACGGCAATGTGCCGAAGTCTGGTTATTACCTTGATTTAGCAATGGTGATGGATGCAATGGTTCAGGTATACGTGATACATAAAGCTTGACTTTTCAATTACAACATGTTACTCCATAAACTTAGTAATTCTGGTGGCTTGAGTCCGCTTTAAATCTTTTCCAATTTCATTTTTCAAACAAAAGAAATTATGTATATTTTTTACAATGCAATGGTTTTAGCTTTGATGAATATATTTACATTTCCCCAAGGGTCGAATCTGGGACCATAACTCCCTCTATAGAAGATGTCCAAGTGCTACAAGTCAGCCTAAACTTCATACTTGGTTGAAGCATCGCTAATAAACTCCAGAACTGTATTCCAGAAAGATCTCGACTGCGGAACTTCTAGAGGGGAAGTATGGGTTATATAGAGGCCACCTTCGGGAACGAGATTATTCAGTTAATGAGTCAAGTTCGGTCAAGACAGAGTCCAGCGAAGTTGCGTCGGAATTATTTTGTACATAACGGCTGTGTAATCAGTCGTGTAAATTTGAGTTATTTAGAAATAAATTGTTGAGTTTTACCCACGCCGATTTTTAATCACCGATCAACGTGACAATATAAAGAACTTAAGAAATGCTTCAAATAAAATTTTGGGATTCATCATGTGTACTTTTCTTTTTGAATATTATGTATTTTCTTATCTCTGTTCTTAACTAAGTTATTACCTATTGGACAATAAAGGGTATTTATAATATTAATTATTATTAGTATAAATATGCAATAATAAAAAAATGGAAGAAATACTTTGAAGAACTATTAAACGAAGACTGTACTAAACAGACCGAAAGAATCAAAAACATGGAAACACAACAGAACAACAAAATCAGGAAGAATAAACAGAAGAAGAATTAGATGACGCACTGAGAAGAATCACCGGAAATAATAAAATGCTACCCAGGAAATACAGCTCCCGACAAAATAGTTTCACGACAAAATAGCTTCAAGACAAAATAACTGCGTCAAATTCTAAAAATCTCTACAAGTGAGGAAAAATATCACACTCAAAAATATGTACCCCGGTACTCAGTATATTTTCTTAGAACGTCGCAAAATGACGTTGCTATGGTAATGTCACAAAAATCTAAATCTAATGGACGGGTTGTATTAAAAGTTTCGCGACATGACCATAGCAACGTCGTTTTGCGACGTCGCTAAATCAACTTGAAATTGGGTCCTCAGGGGCCAATTTCAAGGTGTATTTGTGATGTCGCAAGTCCTCGTTGCTCATAAAAACCAAAAAGTTCATCCGTATTTTGTGAAACAAAAATTATCCCTACTATGTACACAGAAAATGTTAATGAAATGATAACATATAGAACGAAAACAATATTGTTTGAGCAAAACATTGAACTCAATTAAAATTATCTGGAAAAGAAAAACCTAGATTTCATAAGAACTATAAAAAAATCTATACGAAACCACAACCAATCAAATGAGGACACGACACAGAACATCAATACCCTTTAAAACAGTGGAGGGAGTAAGACAGTGAAGAGGATTGAGCCCACTGTTATTTATATGCGCATTAAATGATATATGTAATAACGGAATTCAGAAATAAATTCAAGAAGTATTATATTGGATATAATACACAGGTCCCAAGATGTGAATTAGGAATGGATTACGGGAAAACACAAACAGTGAAAATAACCAAAAACAGGGACGAAAAAACGACAACAATATATACAAATACCTAGGTACTATATAAAATAATGAGGGAAATAATCAAGATAAAATAAACAACAGACTATAAAAAACGTGGAAAACTATTTCAAATATTAAGTAAAAAGTTTCGAAGCAACAAG